CTCATTAGCTGTCATCAACCCTATCTGATTTGGTATACAGCCTTGACATAATGAAACACTAAAATGAACCAGAAAAAAATACATAAAACAGAACAAAAAAGCTACTAAACTGAATCAACACCAACACCACCAAAAAAAAAAAGACCACCACCAACAACAAAAACCAAAAACAAGCACACAAGAAACAAGAGATCCTACAGTAGTTTCATGTAATTTCTTTTTGGTAATTTTATAAATCTTTTGGATGCTTAGAGTGCAAATTTTCATTTCCTGTTCTAGATCAGATGTTAACAAGGATCAGACCTCTAAAGGTTGGATTCTCAAAAAGATGAGACTAGCAGGAAGAAACAGAGATATCTAGCAACTTATGCTGATGGCACATGGGAAAAAGAGAACGTGTTAAATCTTCAACTTCATTGGATTCTCTGTGGAGTTACACTCCTGTTGTTTGGGATCATTGGGAGTAATAGTATGGTAAAAACAACTAAACCTACTCTTACCTAAATATGGCTAATGCTGTTCTCCAGTAATTTGAAACTTTGTGACTCTGCTGGTTAACATTGACCAGACATTACTTTGGTAGTATGTCTCCAGGGGATGATCTCATGACTGGTTTTGAAGCTCTTGTTCTACCAGGAGGTTTTCAGAAATGGAAGAAGCAGACTAATGTTTTTGATTTCTCTATTTTAATTTTTTTTTTCTTTTTACTAAAAAGATAAAAAGTTGGATTGTTTTAGCTTGCCATTTGGCAGAAAAAGCATATGAGTAAACAAGCAAATGGTTCAAGTAAACCTATTTCTCTCCAAAGTCTTTAGAGTTGTTATTTCTCTGTCATATAAGGAAATTTAAAACAGTATTTAAAACAAAAACAAAAACAAAAACAAAAAAAAAAAAAAAAAAAAAAAAAAGGTCTTTGTGGGTAAAGCAGAAAAGAAACTGGGATGTAGGACTGCCACAAGGAAGTCTGAAGAAGTCAGATCTACTTCAGTTGCTATTAGACAGTACTAAACATCTTAGGTAAGACATGCATAGATGTTTTGCTGATTTAAAATCCTCCTTTCTCAGTTTGATTTGGAAAGGGAGTAGAGCATATCAACAAGAACGTTGATGTCAAAAAATGAAATCTGCATCTCTAGCACAGTGAAGCACTGTTTTTTTTTCTTGGTCTTTATCCCACTGGCCCTACTGAAGATGTTTTGATTAGAAAGGACATAAGATGAAATCTTAGACTTTAACACGAGAGACCAAACTCTTTTGGCAATGGAGGGATAGGGTTTACCTGAAGGAAAAGTGAGCCGAGTTGACATAATAATTCAACAGTTTCAATTAAATTCCAAGAATCCCACTGTAAGCTTTGGATCTACTTCAACAGATTTTCCTTGCACTCTTCTCCTTTTTGCCTAAGTTCTTTTTCATTGTGGCTGTTTTGTTTTGATGTGTTATTTTCCTTTTTGGAGGGGAGAGGAGAAGGAGGAGGATTATGCTTAAACTGCATTCGACCTGGACATGCTGAATAAGCCCACTGTTATGATGCTCTCTGTGTGACCAAAAAAGTGAGTCAAAAGTGAATAATGCTCTATGATTTGCTTTTCTTTAGGCCTGAAACTGGTATTACACTTACAGTTCTTCTGCATTTATAATTGTAAGACACTGTATTTTTTCGTTAGTTATTGTGGCATATATTTTTATATGAATGTATTGTGTTTTCATAATGAGAAATAATACCAATTTTCAATTGCTAACTGATAAAAACTTCCATAAAAAACTTTCTATAAAAACTGTCCACAAGAAAAACAAATCCTTTTCAAACCTTTTGTTGCAGCAAGGATGTAAGATATCACCTGAAGTAATGCCAGTTCATGGGTTTGTAAAATGTAGGATACACATTCTGTAGAAATGGTTAAAATGACATATAAGCATTTGATTTTCATTTAAAAAATACCAACAGCCTCTTGGAATATATACAGAAGAAAAGTGAATGCCATAGCATACTCTGCACCACATCTACATCTTTTCCTTGACTATAAGTTGGATACTTATCTTCAAATCTAAGATTTTAAATGATGTGCCAAGGGCTCCACAGAAATTACTGGCAGGGATATGATTAAAATCAGAGTACTTAAAATCTATTAACTCCCTCTAGACTAATGCTTTCTTGCCTGACTAATGTTGTTGCAATAACACTTAATATATTTTTTTAATTTCTACTTTTGGAAGTATTTGAGAAATGAGCTGAGAAATGTAGCTCATGTCTAACAATTTGTGAGAGAATAAAATCACAGAATCATTGAATCTCAGAATCATAAAATGACTTGGATCCAGTTCCAAACCCCTGTCATGGACAGTGCTGCCTCCCACCAGCTCAGGCTGCCCAAGGCACCATTCAGCCTGGCACTGAATGCTTCCTGGACGAGGCATACACAACTTCTTCGGGCAGCCTGTGCCAGTGCCTCACTGCTCTCTAAGTGAAGAATTACTTCGTAACACCTAACTGAAATTTCCCCTCTTTTTGTTTAAAGTCATCCCCTCTTGTCCTATTATTATCTACTTGCATAAAAGTTGGTCCTCCTTCTGCTTGTAAGCTCCTTTCAGGTACTGGAAGATTGCAATGAGCTCTCCCCACAGTATTCTCTTCTCCAGGCTAAACAATCTCAGCTCCTTCAACCTTTTATCATAGGAGAGGTGCTCCAGCTCTGTGATCATCTTTGTGGCTCTCCTGTGGACCCATTCCAATAGCTCTGCATCCCTCTTCCTGATCAAATAGGAATGCTACAGCGTTCATGGGAAATGTATTCATAGCAGTTATGTATTACCTGTGTACGTGTAGGTATGTACAAATGATCATAATAAAAGTCAGAGACAAAGGTAGACAAATCTGTGAGTGAACCTCTTGGGGTTGAGGGCATTAACATACTCATTTTCCAAGAAGTATCTGCACAGCTGTGTGCCTTAAAAAGTACTTCCTCTCAGATAGGCAGAAACCAACCTTTACTGTTACTTGTGGTTATTCCTTCCCAGGTGCAAGACTCTACACTTGCTTTGTTAAACCTCATCTGGTTTCTTGCTTCCCAACTCTCCAGTCTGTCCAGATCTTGCTGAATGGCAGCACAGCCTTCTGGTGTGTCAGCCAATCCTCCCAGCTTTGTATCACTGGCATACATACTGAGGATGGACACTATCCCCTCATCAAGGTAATCAGTGAAAACATTGAACAAGACTGGACCCAGCACCGACCCCTGAGGAACACCACTAGTCACAGGTCTCCAACTAGACTCTGCCCAACCAATCACAACCCTCTGAGCTCAGCCTGTCAGCCAGTTCTCAACCCACCTCACCATCCACTTATCTATCCTACACTTTCTCAGCTTCATTATCAGAATGTCGTGGGAGACGAAAAGCCTTGCTGAAGTCAAGGTAGATGACATCCTCTGCTTTCCCCCACCTACCCAGCTGGTGATGCTATCCTAGAAGGCTAGGACGTTAGTCAAGCCCAATTTTCCCTTGGTGAAAAGGGCTGACTACCTCTGATAACCTTCTTCTCTTCCAATTGCTTGAAGATGGCACCTAGAACAAGCTGTTCCACCACCTTTCCAGTGGCAGAGGTGAGACGGACTGGCCTGTAGTTTCCCTGATCCTCCTTTTTGCCCTTCTTGCCCTTTTTGAAGACGCAGAGTGACACTGGTTATCCTCCAGTCTTCAGGCAACTCTCCCATTCCCCAAGACCTCTCAAAGATGATAGAGAGCAGATAGAGGGCAATCACCCCTGCCGAGTCCCTCAGCACATGTGCATGCATCCCAATTGGGCCCATGGATTTGTGTACATTGATCCCACCTAGATGCTCCCCTCCTAAGAGAAGAGAGAAGCTCTCAATTTTTCCAGACTCTCTCTTTTCCCTTCAGGGTTCAGGAGCCTGAGGGGGAGTCTATGAAGTGAAGACTGAAGCAAAGGTGTTCAGCATCTCTGCCTTCTCGGCATCCCCCATTACCAGAACACTTCCCTTGCTCAGCAGGGGACCCACATTATCCCTACTCTTCCTTTTACTACTAACATACTTAAAAACAAACAAACAAACAAACAAACAAAAAACTTCTTATTATTCTTCATCTCCTTTACCAGCTTTAGCTCCAGGTGAGCTTTAGCCTTCCTTGTTGCTTCCCTGCAGGCCCTGACAACACTCCTATAGTCCTCCAAAGAGGACAGGCCCTTTTTCCACATTTCATAGATCTTCTTCTTCCCTTTGATGTTATCCACGAGCTCCTTGCTCATCCACGCAGGACTCCTGCCTCCCTTCCCTGATTTCCTACTCTTATGCATGCACCGATCTTGAGTTTAGAAGTGCTGTTTAAATGCTGCCCAGCTCTCACAAGTCCTCTTACCTTCTAGCACTCTTAACCTATGAGATACCTCCAAGTAGGTCCCGAAAAAGGTCGAAGTTGACTCTCTGAAAGTCCAAGGCAGCAGTCCTACTTTTTGCCTTACTTCTTCCACTCAAGATCTTGAACTCCCCCAGCTCATGAATGCTACATCCGAAGTTGCCCCCAGTCTTCACATGCCTAACAAGCCCAGCCCTGTTGGAAAGAACAATGTTGCTGAGTTACTGAACTCCTCTGCAGCTTAACGTAAGGTTGATGTACATTGCTGTTGGCTTCAAAGAAATTAGGATACAGCTCTGAAAAACCACAGAAGCATTGTGCATATATTGCAATCGGGAAATTATGTTGAACTCTCTGCTGCTATGTCCCATCCATTTTTTTCTTCCAGACCAAAATGAGAGATTTTCTTTCAAGAATTCTTTGCCTTACCACAAAACTTAAAAGCAAGACTTCCCTTTTTCTCAGTTTTCTGTTAAAATGCATGCCTATTCATTTAAAAAATGATATGTCTTTGCTAATGTTGAATGTTCAACCATCCTTTATGCAACACTGGTTGTAGCTGTAGCCTATGCATTAGTTAACGGAGAAAGTAAAATGACCATCAGTAGACAGAACGAATAAATAGAACAGGGTTTATTATGATGACCTATTTTTTTTACATAAGAGCCATTCCTCTGCAGCTTCTGAGCTACTTACAATCTCCTCTCTGTCAGTATCAGTTACTGATACTTCCTAAAACACCAGCAGGTGTTGAGTACTGATAAGTATTTTGAACTAGTTCTGCCACTGTCATTGTCCTTCAGTGTCCTTAGGACCACTCTGTGCAGACTGCATAGTGCTGCAGCAACTGAACTCAAGTAATTTATTCTCATTGGATCCACACTGCAGACAGTGCTGTTCCTGTTGAAGACAGCTTTTTGCCGATGAGCTCTCGTGACACAACAGCCACTTCTGTGTCTGAGACCTTGTATTTGCAGTCTGTGGGAAGAGCTGCTGCTCACTGAGAGAATCTCCTGAAGGGAAGTAACTGAGTTATGTCTGCAGAACTTCTGGCCGTAACCAAGATGGGGAAAATTAAACAGTGCTCTCCCAGCTGCAGGCAGCTTTTCTATTTTCTGCTTGCACAATTCCTAGTGAGTATTTCTATTGGTGTTTATTTTTACCGTCTTTCTGTTTTAAGACAAGTGAGCCACTTTCTTACTGTCACTGTATTTCTACCAATCAAATTACTGCCCGCAACCCATTAAGGGAATTTATCTCAAAACAGTAACTTTTGCTGAAGAGATGCAGAAGTTCCCCGCACAGCCCGTGACCCGCTGCTGCAGCTCCGTGCTCTGCTCTCACTCGGCTGTGCATGTTCCACTCAGAGAAGCCAACGGGCAGAAGCAACGTTCAGAACCAGACGGTGGAAAGCGTTCGGCCGAATGACTAACAATGGAACAGACACGTTCCCCAACCATTCAACGTTTTGGTAACAAAAACCACCAGCTTCACTCCTTTAGCTTCCTAAACGGGTATTAGAATAGCTCTGCCCGGCCTCACCTCGCTCCGATTTTGGCTTTCCGCTTTTGGCTTTCCGCATATGACACGCCAGCACCCGCGGTCACGATCGGACCGGCAGCAGGGAGCCGCTGCCCACCACCCACAGCGCGCGGTCGCCCGACGCCGCCCCCCCGCCCGGCGCAGCCCCGTTCCGCGGCGCTAGGTGAAGGCAGCCCCCGCCCGCGCTGCCCCGCTGCCCGCCACACTTCCTCCGCGCCCCGCTCCGCACTTCCTGCCCCCCGCCCGGCCGCCAGCACCGCCCTCCCCGCGGGAGGTGCCGGGGGCTGCGGGGGGCGCGGCAGCGGCCGCCTTCCTGCTCCGGCCGAGGCAGCCCGGCGCCGGAGCGCGGTGAGGTGAGCTTCGGCTGTCGGCAGCAGGCGGGGCCGGGCCGGGCCGGAGCGGGGCTTCGCGGGGCTTCACGCGGCCGTACCGGCGGCGAGGGCAGGTGCTGGGGGTGGCTGTGCCCGCGAGGTCCCCCGCCAAACCCCTCCGGGCCGGGGGGAGGCGAGTGGAGTCTGCCCCGGACGGGCCCGCGGGTGGCGGCCCGTTGTGCTCCGTGCCCGCAGCCTCTGTGCCCCGGCGGTCCCGCACGGGCTGGGGTCCCCCGGTAGCTCCGCGTGGGTACGGATAGCGTTGTGATTGAAGTGAGGGGCAGTGACGGGTTCCGGCCGCAGCCCGGCGGCAGAGCCTGGAGGCGCCGTCCTGAGGCGAGGACTGCCCGCCCCTGTGCCGGCTCGGGCTGCCGCTCGGGCTGCCAGTCGGTCCCGCTCTCCCCATCCGAGTGTGTCTTAATCGCACTGTGCTTGATGAACGGCTGCTTGATATATGGCTTTCTTCTTTGTTTATTTTCTGTTTTTGTTTTTTTTTTGTTGTTGTTGGTTTTTTTTTTTTTTGCTTTTTTTTTCTTTTGTTCCCGGTGTGGGGTTGTGTGTTTTACAGTGAAACTGTACTTGTGGTTTTACAGGGGTGGAAGGGATGACGTGATATTGTGGTTCCTGAGCTGTACATACAAGCTTACTCTATTCTTATTCTATTCCTTTTCCTTTTATTAATCTTTAAGAGCAAGCAGGGGTCCTTTCAGTTTTGATACTAACAAAATATTTCCTTTTGTATGGAAAGGTGCCTGAGACAAACCGTATCCTTGAAAAGAAATTAGCAATCTGGCTAACAGTGAACTGTTCTCATGTGTAACTTTTTTTTTGCTCAGTGTTGTTCTCATATGGAAGTATTTTGGATTCCACAGCTGATGAGCAGCCTCAGAGTCGTGTGGAGCTGTCACAAACCATAGCTCTGCTGGAGAACTCTCCTTTAGATCGATTTAAAAGACAGTGCATGGTGGGCTCTGATCTGAAAAATAGCTAGTGGGGTGGTGGTAGCCATCAGCTACTCGCTTATCAGGAGCCTTCTCCATCTTTTCATGTTCTTCTGATCTGTTATTTGTGTCTACAAATACATCGGGAAAGGAAGACCTGAGGTCCAGACTTTGTTGAGAATGATGAGCATGCAGTTGCAGAACCTGTTGGCCAAGAGCTGCGCCCCTTCCTGGGGAGTGTGTAATGTGATAATTTGGACAAACAGTGACTCAGGGCCTCTCAAAGCTTCATATCTGAGGCCTGTGGGCAGGAGTTGGCTCTCCAGGTGAGATGGCGGTGCGTGGCCTAACCCACTCTGACTTGTTATGGCTACCCGGAGGCTGTGTTTCTGTTGGCAGTCCTTAGAGAGGTTTCTGGGTCCTGGCTGCTTTGGGGGGGGGGGGGGGGGGGGGGGGGAGGGAGAGATCTGCTCCAGCTGGCAGTACAGCAGCACAAGAAGCAGGAGGTGTTAGCTGGCTCAAGCATCCACCGCCTTCCTCATGGAGCACTTCTGTGTTGGCGTCAGACAGCCAGAATGTTCAGAGGTCAGGAGTTCTGTGTCCTACCAAGTGTAGAACATGATGCATGTGGCAGAACATCTCATTCCACAGCTGTAGTAAACATGCATGAGAGATGGGTTCCTTCTTTTTCAGTGAAATCACATTCTTACACATAAAATCAGAAACATATTTTCTTTTTGACTTAATAGCTGTGCCAAGCTAGATATTTCCTGAGGACAGCATGCACAAATACATTTCCATATCAATGTATTCCCTAAGCTGATTTGCATCTTTCCTTCAGAATGCGTGTCTCCCCAGGAGAAAGCCACATAGTTTTTGTTTCTAAGCTGTAGTGGGAGGAAATGCCAGTGTTGCAGCTGGGGTTGTGTCCTGGATCGGATTGGGTGGATGGAAGGTGCTCTTGTGTGTCCTGTCACTCCTTGTCCTTCCTCTCTTTCTCTTGACTATAAAACGCATTCCCAATTAACATAACTCAGCTAAGGGCAAGCCACACTGCATTTTTTAGAGGGGAAAATGCATGGAAGTCAAGTGAGGAGTACTTCAGTGAAATCAGTGTTTTCTCACCCCCTTATTTCTAATAGGGACAGCTCAGGCAGCATGACACTAGGGTATTCAGTCCTGTGGCTCTGTGCTCCAGGCAAGGTAGTCACTTGTGTTTGTGCAGCTGCTTTACCTCCACAACTTTCTGAGCTAACCAGCAAACCCAGTAATTAACTTTCCAGCAAGTCTCTGAAGCTGATGAGATGGATGCTTTCTGTAGGAGCCATTGGCTGGATGTTGGGTAGATGCTTTTCAGCAGAGGTTCAGGTTGTATATTTACAAAAAAAATTATTCTCAGAAAGAGTGGTGAGCCATTGGAACAGGCTGGAGTCACTGTTCCTGGATATATTTGAGAACCATGTGGATGAAGCACTGAGGTACATAGTGGCATGGTGATGATAGGTTGATGATTGAACTAGATAATGTCAGAGGTCTTTTCCCATTGTTATGATTCTGTATACTTCTTACTGCCAGGAGGAAAACAGCAAAGAAAGCAGCACTTGAAATGATGCACTATATCTTGCAATTTATGTTTAGTAACTTTTCTGTGTTGTTCAAGTACACCAACTAGTACCATTACAGCAAAGAACAGGACGCAAATGACTTCAGACAGATTTTGTTAAACATTTTTTGAAATGGAATTTTTATTTTGGTAAGCACAAGTAAATAAATCGTCTTGTCCTTAGGTGACGTGGTTGTCCCTGTTTCATAGAATCACAGATTCACAGAATGGCTTGGTTGGAAGGGACCGTAAAGGTCATCTAGCTCCAACTCCCTACCAGCCAGTAAATCCGATATTTCTTGCATTTTGATTTTGTCTCTGGAGTTCTACGGTTTTAGATTTGCAGGGATTCTACTTAAATCTCAGCTTTTCCTCTTTGTGTAGCACAGCAGGAAGGCAATTTGCACAGCAGCACATGCATTTCTGTAATCTGTACCTTTGTGCTGGAAACCTGTATGTGTCTGTATTTTTGCGATGCAGGTGGTGGGGCCATGCTACTGAGTGAGAGTGACAATGGTTTGTGTCTGACACTAAATCTGGAAGGAGTGTTCCAAAGTGGGTTTTATTCTGGGTGCACATGTGCATGAAATGAATGTGTACTGTTGAAGAACTTAAGCCTTGGGCACAGAATAATACCAGCATCTCTGTTTCCCCCTAGCAGCTGGAATTGTCACCTTCCCTGTGATCACAGCATGTCCTCATGCAAAACCCTCTGAGTGTTGCTACCATTTGTTCACTTATAAATATATTACAACCTGTGAATTGCATCCACAGGGAACAATAAGTTGTTGTGTTTAAGAGTGTGCACCTTGAGAGGCTGCACAACGTGTTAGTAGTAAATGCACCCATTTCACCTTGAGTTAGTGTCTTGCAGTGCACTGGTGTTTGCTGTTTGATTTCATGACTATTTTTCTGGTTTTTGTCTGCAGTATTGCCAAAAGGAAAAAAAAAAAAAAATCTCAAACTGGATCTCAGTTTGCAAGAGAACGATCCGTATTGCCAACTGTGCCCAAGGTTTCTGGTGGAGTTGGAGGATTCCTTGAGCTAAGTGCTGTTGCACTCATTAAGACCAGATTTTATCAACTCATAAAACTCATAGGATGATTATGGCCTATTGTAAACAGAACTGCAGTTGCTCTTTGCCCTCACATTGTGTTAAAATGGGTTGCTTCACAGAGTGAAACAAGACTCAGCAGCAGCTGGCACCTTCGGTGTTGCTCACTTGCTAAACCTCACAGATTAAGGCATGTTATTTATTTTTGGTCAAGAGCAGCAGAAAGCTGAAGATCAAAAGAAATAGCACTTCATATGATTTCCCACTGAAATCAACAATGTTTGGTTATTTATTTATTTAGGTTACCCTTAAGGTATTTATGTACTTGCCTATTAACTAATTAGCCTGGAACCAATGCATTAGGTTCATATCCCCATTTGAAAGCAAGGTGTAAATTACTTCTGGAAGGTTGAGATTAACGTTCATTACTGACTAAGTGGGATGACAAGGAATCTGTCCTTTTACCTCTAGACCAGTGCTGTTAATTAGCTGGCTGTATGGAAGGTATGATAGCAGGATGGCTGGTTTATTCTGTTTGTTTTTGGTTTTCAATTGTTAGGAATATTCGAGATTTTCTTGCAGAGTTGATGTGGGGCTTTCTGTAACAGCTAACATTATGATATTGCTTTTTTCTTTCTCCAGGTGGAAATACCTGCCCTCCTTGCTTAGTGGAGTCCAGCTGAGAGCTGTTACATTACTGCAGTGAAGGTTTGATTGTGTTCATATAGTTATCAAAGTGGGGGATGCAATATAACACACATCATATAATTCGCAGTTTCCACTCTCTTGTGGTTTTGCTTTTTTGCTGTTTTTGACATGGTAGATCTTGAGAACAGCTGCTGAGGAATGAAGTCTCCACCTCTTCTCGTGGCCTCTCTCCTGGCATGCATCATTGTTTTGGGTTTCAATTACTGGATTGCAAGCTCTCGCAGTTTGGATCTACAGGTAACGTTCCTATTGCTCTGCATGTGGTCGTGCACATCTGCAGTTGGCAAAGGTAATTCACAATAAGTAGAATGCTTGCGCTCAATGTGATGAGCTTGCTTTGGCTTGCTTTAGGGATTTTCACAAATACTACAGCCACTGCTTATCAGTACAGGGAAGAAGGGGAGGTAAGGGGGGACCCAAAACCCAAAGACCTGAGTATGGTACTTCAAACATATGTAGACATTCAGCTGCTTTCCTCTGCTTCAGTTTTTTTCTCAGAGTATATTGAACTTGCAGTCCATTTTAATATCTGAACGAGTCTCTGTAATTTGCTCATCTTCCTAAATTATTTTTCCATATTGCCATTTCAGTGACTTCTGTTGCTCAGTATAAAAAAAGATTGACCTCTTTCAGTATGTGCTGGATGAGTAACATGCACTTTCCCACTAGGGGCAAGGAAAGAAATTGTTCAGATACAGTTTCTAAAAATTTGATTTTGTATTTCTTAGAAACTGTTCCTAAAGAAGGCATTCAAAGCTCATGGAATAATTACTATTTTGTAACTGTATTTTCTGTGACTATCCATCTTGGGTTTGTAAAATTTACTGTGTTGCACATTCTGAAGTTGAGGAGTACATGAACAAAGCTCCTGCTTTGTGATTCCGTGTGCAAGGTTTGTTTATTTCATATAAACAAAAAAGACCCCTCCCCCCCACCCCTTTCCCTTTGGCTTTATACTCTTTCTTACTGCCCATGAGGAATTTAATACAAAATATTTAGAGAAAATGACCTCCAAAGCTAAATGAGTATTTAAAAAATATAAAATATGTAGCCTTGACAGCATCTGGCTTGATTCCTTTACCTTGCTTTTCTGTGCAGTATTTCATGGTCTTGAGTTTTCATCTTGTCACTGCTTTTTGACTGGTCATGAATAATTTTCTTCTTATAAATAAGTATTGTATCTTTGTGCAACTGCTGTATGTCAGTTATTTAAGTGTAAGTTGGACAGTGTTGTCCTTCCTCAACTTTTTCCCTGGTCTTAAAATAAAACTTCTTCATGATTTCAGAGTTGAATTTTCCCTCTGTGTAAGGTTAGGATCAACACTGGGAAGTGCAATGATGTCCAACTTGCCTGAATGACATTTGGAAAATGATTTGACCTTGTACTTCAGCAAGATCATGGATTGTGATTTCTTTTTTTTTTTAAAATGATTTATGTTTTGGTGTGGTTTTATCTATTTATTTATTTTAGCCTAGGGCTGTGTACTTTAAATGAAATTTTGATGGCCTTTGAATTCTTTGAAAGTATTGGAAAAAAGTCCAGCAAGAGGGAAAGTGCATTCACTTGTTACTTATTTTAGTTCTGCCTATGTGAAGTTTGAAAGCATAACCCTTTTAAACAGTCTCACAGGGAGAGCATTTCTCTTTGCCTTTTGCTATTGCTTCCTCAGAGTCGGATCATGGAGCTGGAAGGCAAGGTCCGCAGGGCAGCAGCAGAGAGAGGCGCCGTGGAGCTCAAGAAGAATGAATTCCAGGGAGAGCTGCAGAAGCAACGAGAGCAAATTGATAAAATACAGTCCTTGCATACCTTCCAAATGGAAAATGCCAACAGAGCACACTGGGAAGAGAAGGTAGGAACTCTTCTAGCTACACTGTTCCATGAGATTGTGGTTAACCATCACACTTTCTGCAACAGAGTAAGGTTGCTCCAGCTAATGGGGATTACAGTTAATGTTTGTGTGGCAAAATATTTAATGTATAAATTATCACTGAATGCAGCTTATGAATACCACCCTCAAAGTGGTAAAAGATTTACTCAGGTGTTTATAATGGAGAAAAACTTTAATATAAATGTGTTAGGAGGAGGGAAAGAAAGAAACAGAGGTAAGCTGAAATCCGGATTTTTCTTACTGCACTGCATCAGGTTTTAATTGTGAAATATTAGAAGTGACAAGTGATAGTACTTCTATATCTATATATATAGTGATATCTATATCTATATATGTAGAAGTGATATCTTCTATATCTATATATAATACCTTTGCTTCCTATATTGTTAGAGCTACATTGGTTTGTCCTCTGACTTTCTTTCCTGTACACTAACATTTCAAAACTTCAGAAAGAGAAAAAGCTGCACTGATAGATATGTTTGTATTCCCTTCCCAGGTAGTTCTAAATGGTTGATATTTATTTCTAAATGCATTTTAAATTTTGTGGCCTCCAAATCTTCTGCCTCCAAAACTCAGTAAAGTGAGAGACATGTATGATAAAAATTATAGTTTTGTTGTTCACCCAGGCTCTGTCTTCAGGTTTGGAAATGTGGGAAATCGGAGAGAACTGATGACTGGTGAAAACTGGTGAAAAAAAAATTGTTGAGTCTCAGCTTTATTCATGTCTGACATCACTAGATCTCTTGATTTGTCTAGCAAGGATGGTACATTTTCTTTGTTTCTCTTTTTCTAACCATCGTTCCTTTTTTCACATCTGTCAGCAGATTCAGTTCAGCTATGCATTGATGTTCCTCATCCCATCAATAATGCTCAGACAGCATTCCTAAATTGTTCCCAAGATGTGATTCAGTCCTTGCTTCCATTGCTTATGCTTTTCCTTCTTTCTCTTCAGTTCAGCCATAACTGACTTTACAGCCATACTGGTCTCATGTCTTCTTCGCCTGATTTCTTGCACTTGGAGATCAAGAGCTCTTGTGCTTGACAAAAAGCATCCTTGAGGAGCTGCCAACACTTTTCTGCTCTAGTGACACAGAAGGCTGTTTCCCAAGGGTTTGCATTCACAAGTTCATGAAACAGGTGAAAGTTTGCTTTTCCAAAGGTCTTCTCTTTGCTCTTTACCTAGCCTATATCCTTTGTGATCATGAATGCCAGGAGAGGTTCAGGTTGGATATTAGGAAACATTTCTTCACTGAAAGAGTGGTTGTGCACAGAGCACAACTTCAGCCTCGTCATTTCCCTGTCTGCTTAATCATTTCTCAATATTCAAACCTGTGGTCATTTCTCCCTTCTAGTAGCAGGCATTGCTACTGTGTGTTCTGGGTATTGTTTGGTTTTACCATCCTCTTTGCAAGTACCATTGTTTGTATCTCAGAGTCTAATTTGTGGTTCAGTGGTGCTTGGTAAAACCCTTCATTCTGTTCTGGCATGCTTTTGCATTCCACATCCATCCTGCAAGTAGCAGAGAACATTTATGAGGGAAAAAAAAAAAAAAAAAAAAAAAAAATCTTTTTCAAAAGGCAAATGCATTTTCTGCTTCTTTTTCACAAGTAGAATTTCCTTTACCAAGGTAGAAGAATTTCTAGATGTAAATGGAATTGTCAATATGTTAGTAGTCTAGCATAATGGGCAAATATCGAGAGCTAGTGAGAAGAACTCACCCAGGAGTTCTAAGAAAGCTCCATGGATGGAAAAGTGCTTCCTTTTGCCAAGAGCAGTGTGCATTTTTTCCTTTGAATTACCGTGGTACTAGTCAGTTGCAATTGCCACCACACAATCACTTTTTCTTGTGACAGAGTTTCTTTTTTCCTTTGAGTTTAGAGGAACTATTGTTTATCAAATCTTGCATTTTTTCCAAGAAAGGTCATAGGAAATATTAAAAAAATCAATCTTGTTATGTGACATAGGATGAATATGTTATTTTGGGGATGGCTTAGAGAAGCTTATGAAAAAATCTTGCCTTTGGTGTCTCTTAGAACTTCTGTATGGAGGAATCATTACAGAGATGAGAGACTAGTTAGTGTATTCGCACCTAGATCTGGAAGTGTCTGTACCGTCACTATCAAAGCAATTGTGTTGCCATGTGATATGATATTGTTATAACAGGGCTGAATGGTCAGGTAAAAATTGCAGAATGGCTTAGAAAACAGCAGTGGGTGGAGGAGCTGCTCCTCAGGTTGCAAACGTATTACATCTGCAGCACCTGATTACATGGCATCGATGATGTAACCATCACCAATCAATAGGGCAGACTGGAGAAGCACCTGCGCTCTGCCCGATAAGATGTTTTCTGGCTCCAAATGTTTCTGAGCCAGAAATAGTTGCTGCTGGAAAACACTGTGCCTTATGGTGCAGTTCCTTTGGCAGCTGCTGCTGAAAGACAGGATGTTGGCAAGGTGGGGCTGGGACTAGCATAGCTGATCTTAACCTTGTAAGTGCATTCTCTTCCATCATTCTGAAATGCAGGTGGTGTTCAGTAATGGAATAGTCAATGAAGTTTGTTGTTGGAAACCCAGGAGCTGATACTATAGAAAACATTACGTATTTCCTCTTCTATTTCATGTGACTGGAGAAGAACAGGTCTCAGGAGGCTGAAGGCTGGAACGAGTGTGTGAGTCTGTGCACTTGCTCTTGTTGTGACACGTGAACAGACATCCCACGCAGATGTTGTTTGCTGCCCAGGTCTGCAATTTAATAGTATGGAGAGGTGTTTTACTGGAAAACTGTATTTGTAAAAATTATGCCATAGCCATAAGCAAGTTGGTATGGATTCATCTACTCTAAGTTACAAGTGCTCCTGATATGACCATCGTGATGAAGGAAGAGCGCGTAGTTTTCCTCACTAAGGACCTTAATCTGAACAAGTTCTCCAGGGTCAGAGATTATATGACAGTAGGATGTGAATACAGGAAAAAGCTGTTTCTGACCTTTTTCAGTGGTTGTCTTTAAATATCTATCTGCTAATGTCTGTGTTCTGAATTCACATGTGTGTACATGAATGTGTATGCATACACAAACACATATTCTTGGTTTTTGGCTCAATGGATTCCAGTGGAATCTGTGATTCCTGGAAGGCAGATAGTGAATGCAACGTTTCTGCTCATACAAAAATGATTTCTTGAGCTGAACTTTATATTTTCCCTTTCTGGAGATTAGCTGGAGTGTTTACCCAGTCCAGGAGGGATGAATGCAAATCTAAACCCTGGGTGTCACAGCTCTCTTTCCAAGTTAACACAAACCATCTAAATGTAACTAAACAGATCTTTACATGATAAACAGGATTTTGTTTAATTTTCATTGTTGTCCTTAAATAAGAAAAATGAAAAGTCCATTAGTTGATTTGTAGAAGTGATTGGTTTGTGTCAGAAAGCTTCCTCTTTTCTGGAGTGAAGTGATAGAGCCTCTGGATATAGAAGAGTAGTACTTTGCAAAAGTAACTCTCAAATTAGATTTGAGACCCATCTTAATTTCACTTCATCTCTGATCATTGCATCTCATTACTTTGATTATAATATGGATAAGGATATGGTCATAATGCTGATCGTATGATAATTATGCCACTAATTTAGTTTTGTACTAAACTATTATACTAGTAATATACATTCCAGGTTAAAGTAATTCTCAGAGACAGTGCGACTATCACTAGTTATATCTACCTTCTTTTCTAGTTCAGTTGCCTCTGTTCTACCTTAGGAACAAGGGTACAGAAGGAAGAAGATTCTTGGAGCGTGAAATATCCCATGGTCTCACCATCCATTGAGGCAATGTAATCCTGGGTAATTGCTCTCAGAATTGTAGAACTGTAGAATCATTCAGGTTGGAAAAGACCTTTGAGATCTAGTCCAACCACCAACCCATCCCTACCATGCCCAATAACCATGCCCTCCAGTGCCACATCCATGCAGTTCTTGGTCGCCTCTGAGACAGGCTCTTCCAATGCTTCACAACTCCTTCGGAAAAGAAATCATGTTTCTCTCATGTCTGAGTATGTATAAAACACTTCTGTCAGCAGACTGCTTTTAAAAAATCTGTTTGAATTATTGAGGATTTAGTCAATTGCTTCTGGAAATCCATACAGAAGTAGACTGAACAGATCAAGAGACCTTACAAGAACACTCAGTAACAGCAGACAAAGAATCAGGAGTGCTGAGAACAGGGGCTGTTTCTAATCCATTAGCAATTTTCTAAAGCAGAACAATATCCTGCATGGTTGTTATTCACAAATCGTGGTTTCTGGGTTGTGCACACCCACAATAGTTTTTTGAAGGGTGGAGCAGCAGAATAATACTTATAATCTGTTTCATGTTTAATTCTTAGAATGTGCTTTTGCAGTTTGGATTTCTGTAATTCTTCTCAAGCACACATCTTGCTTTTTCAAGGAGGGACAGCAAGTTTTGTTTGCTGTAAGAGAAGTGTCTGGCACTTTTGCTTGATGTCCTTTACCACTGTTCACAGCTGTTCTCATTGCTCCTCTGAGAAGATCTCAGCTCCCAGCTCAGCCTTCTGAGACAAAACACCTGCTGGCATGCGGAATGTGGGCTCTGCTCAGAAGGAGTGGCAGTGGCCAGAGGGAGAGAGAAAAAAGCCTGCTGTGGAAATAAGGAGCTGCCTATCTGTGCTTGTTTTAAAGCAGTATGGCACCCAACAGCTCTGAATACTAGTTTGTACTGCCAGGTGTTGGGGTTTTAATTAAACGTAGCAATATTCGCAGAAGTCCTGTAGCCTCAAAAGCAGTGTTGTCTCCAGTCTGTCTGTTGCTGCCCAAAACAGCTGCAAACATCATTTCTTCTTCAGATTTTCAGCTGCTTTTCCTGCTGAGAATGTAAGGAAGAAAAAGTCTAATTTTTTGATGGAACTAATTTCAGTGGGAAATATGTTTAAATGAAGAATATGTGCTCCATTCAAGCTCGAGATTTGTTTCAGGCTTCTTCAACTGGGATGCTTCTACTGAAATATTTATGAGCATTTTGCACAGGGACCAGCCTAAAAGAGAAATATTTTCATAAGGAATCATTTTTATGAATTCTTTTTCTTTTTTCCTTATATACTGATAAGTGCTTAGAAATGAATCTGATGCCTTGAAATGAAAAAGGCTCTTTGTGGCTGGTTGAAATAGTTCCCACTTTTTCAAAAATTATTCCAAAGTGATGAAAAAGGAGAGTAGAAAGAGACAAGAGTTGGAGATAGTTAGTGCCAAGAACGTGGTGGTAGAGAAGGTGTCTTTGTAGAAACAGAGAAAGACATTTTCATGTATCATTAAGACATGAACAAGCCCTCATTTGGGCTGTGCTACTGTCTTGGAAGTGTGCATGATAAACTGCTCCTTTTGTCTGCCGTAGGGACGCAGATCAGTTTGTGTTGGTCATGATACAGCTGCCCATCTCCCTGGTTATTACGAGTACTGGTTTGTGTGAGTTTCTGCATGTGCAAGCCTCACCCTGCAGCTTGCTGTGTTCCCAGCACTTTGTTCTGGAGGCTGGGCAGCTGAAATCTGCTTCTGTCCTCAGAGCTTGGATTACTGACACTGCTGCTTGCTTTTTTCTCCTCTTGAGAGCTGTGCCTCATGAGTGCCAAACCCCTTTCCGCTGCTTTTAGCTCTGAAACAAATGTTTATTCATGTCAGCTGCTTTGCTGTGCTGTTCCTTTTTCTGTTGTAAGTAGATACGCTATGCTTGGTTAGTGTTGGAAAACACATACATCAGTGTGCTGGGTATGACTGGTTTTACGGTGGTATCAAAAGCCATAGATAGCCATGCTGAAGGAGCTGGGCTAGTCGTTCCCCCCAGGAGAGTGATTAAGGAGACCGTTGTGTAAGGTACTGGTCTAATTATGTGTTTTAATGCTTGTATATAGCTCAGAATATGTGTTCAAAATATAGGTACTTAGGAATGATTTATCTCAATGCCACCATGCAGGTATTTCTGTTTGCGTTCTTTTTGTACCTATGCCTTTAACATTTGTGCTTCTTAAGTGGAATATGACTTATGTAGATCTTCTTTGGTATGTTGTACAAATCTCTGGTAGTTTTCAAAATATTTACTGTCCAGCTGGTGCAAGGTTTTTTTTTTTATCACTGCTGTTAGCCGTGTGGCTTTTGGTTTGGTTTCTGAAGATCTGCTGTCCATAACAGTGACCCCAATCAGGAGGCTGACTGTTCCTGCCTCGTAGTGACAAGGACTTCTGTGCAAGGTGTATTGCAAGCACAACAGTCTGGCTCTATTTGCAGAGTTACTCCCATGCTCTCACAGATTGTTTTGATATGGTGAGGTACTGAATCCACCAAAACTGAATAATTACTGTCAGGGATTATAGGTATTGTTGTTGCTAAACGGGATTTAAAATGTAAACTTCCTTTTAGGTCTGAATTTCAGTGTGTTTGCTGAGTGCTTCCTTGCAGTTTGAAAAATATGATAAAATAGTACCCACCTAATTCCCAGGTATGAGGCAAAGATTAGTTAATATTTGCCTGGCAGGAGGAAGAATTGAAAGCCTGAAGCTATTGATACAGTTAGGTAGGGAGCTGGCAGTTGGAACGTTGCCCTGTAAATTATTGAGCAGCATTTCCTGCTCACGTTAAACAGGTGGCTGGACTTTCGTGATTCCTTCCTGGATTTTTACCCTCAAATTCAGGGAGATAGGTGTGGCACTGTCAAATGGAAGTTTCATTCAATTTCATTTATGTGGTCCAAAAGATTAAGATCTGTAATTTTTTTTTCCCTTATATTTTAAGGAGAATTTTCCATGCCTAAGATGCTGAACATCCAGCACTTGTATGCTTCACAGTCAAAATGAAATAAATGGTTCCACGGGGGGTTCATTAAAGAACAGTAAACAAACAAGCGAACAGAAATATGTGTGAACATAAAATGGCTGTATCAAACTACAGTACTTGTTCTTCTATTCCGTTGACAGTTTCTGGTAATGGCCATGGTTGACTAGCCCCAGTAAGGGAAATCCTGATGGTGATGATCATGGAGCAGCCTCGTTAGGCTGAGCAGGCAATAGCAGCACGTAAAGTGCAGTGAAAACAGATCCAGAACCTTTTTTACCTTGTCCTTTGAGAACTGAGGAGAGGAGTTGATTGATAGATCTTAAGTATGTTGCTTTCCATGTTGTTTCTCTTTGTTTCTTTTCAATGAAGGATCAAGACCTTTGCTCTTGATATTTCACAACAGTGTTCATGGACTGATGGTATGTATGAAATGCTGTAGGAATATTTCTTTTATTGATTTGGAAAAGACTGCCTCTTTGTTAAGACATGAACGACCACTTCATTGTATTGGGACTTTTTAAAAGTTTGATAAAAGACAAATTCACCCCTCTGCTCTGTGTATGCTTGGATTAATTGAATTAATCAACTGGTTGATTAAAACACGTTTTAATCAACTGGTACTTATTAGTGTTAGTCTCCAAGAAAATAGGTGCTGTCATTGTCTCAGCATGACACAGGAAGACAGAATGAATGCAAGTATTTCTTTACCTTTAAAGTGATGTGAGTGTGAGTACGCATCACTACTTGAGTAGCAGCATTGGGCAGCCAGAGGCTCAGTCTAACCACGAGATCAGGCTGCCCAGAGCTACGTCCAGCCTGGCCTTGAATGCCTCCAGGGATGGGGCATCCACAACCTCCTTGGGCAACCTGTTCCAGTGTATCACCACCTTCTGTGTGGAAAAACTTCCTCCTAATATCTAACCTAAACCTCCCCTATCTCAGGATAAAACCTATTACCACCCTTGTAAGCAGCCTTTGCCCCTCCTGTTTATGTGCTCCCTTCAAGTACTGGAAGGCCACAATGAGGTCTCCCCAGAGCCTTCTCTACTCCAAGCTAAACAATCCCAGTTCCCTCAACCTTTCCTCACAGGAGAGGTGCTCCAGCCCTCTGATCATCTTAATGGCCCTCCTCTGCACCCGTTCCAAGAGCTCTACGTCCTTCCTGTACTGGGAGCCCCAGGCCTGGATGCAGGGCCTCCATCCCACTCCAGATGGGGCCTCACAAGAGCAGAGGAGGACTATCACCTCCCTTTCCCTGCTGGCCACTCCTCTTTTAACGCAGCCCAGAACACAGTTGGTCTTCTGGGCTGCAAGCACACACTGCTGGCTCATGTCCAGCTTCTCATCTACCAGGACCCCCAAGTTCTTCTCCGCAGGGCTGCTCTCAAGATCTTTCCCCAGTTTGTATAAATACCTGGGATTGTCCCAACCCAAGTGCAGCACCCTGCACTTGGCCTTATTGAACCTCATTAGGTTTTCATGGGCCCACTTCTCCAGCCTGTCCAGGTCCTATGGATGTCTTCCCTTCCAATGTATTGACTACACCGCTCAGCTTGGTGTCATCTACAAACTGAATTCATCAAACTTGCTGAGAGTTCATTTAGGCTTGCTTTATTTCTGCTATCATTAGGGTGTTTTGGGGTACTTATGATTTGGTAGAGGTGGGGAAAAATTGGACAAATCATATATTCAGTGCTTCTTCAGAGTGAAAGTGAGTGCAGCATGAGAGAATGGAGGTGCATTACTCAGGGCTTTCTTATCAAAGCAAGGGTCTGGCTAGTGAGAAGTATGACACAAGGCGGGGGCTTCATGCTGCTTTTAGAGTTTGTATTTCTCTTTCCATGGCTAATGCTTCCTGGGTCATCCTTGTGTTCCTGATGCTGGTGAGCAGGAGCTAGCAGTGAGCTGTATTACACTGTTTTCCTTCAAGGGTAAATACAGTGAATCTGACCATGACTATTATCATGAGATTAAACCAGGATAAAGCAGCCAGCAACATTAGTAGTCGGCTCTTTACATTTTTCTTGCTTTTGCTTAAATGTAGTGATATCTTTGTACACTCTGAAATCTGAATTAAAATAACTCTTTGTTGGTTTTAATAATAAGTCTCTAGAACAGCGAAAAAAGTTTTTATTTTCATCTGTAACTCAGCACTTCTCAAGTTAAAAATCCTATTACAAGTGCTTTGATTGGTGTTATTTATAACATTAATGGTAGCTCAGGGCCTTTGCAGTTAAAACATTGTTTTCTGTTTTGCTCCTTACAGGCAGTGCTGATGAATAACATCACAACAAATGAACGATTGATCCAGAGTCTACAAGGTAGGACATAATACCTCCCTGTATTGCTCTTTTTCTTTTTTTTTTTCCTTTTTCTTTTTTCTTTTTTTCCTTTTTCTTTTTTTTTTTTTCCTTTTTCTTTTTTTTTTTTTTTAATATTCTGTTTTTAAGACTTAAGTTATTCTGGTGTCTTCTGAAAACGCTGCCTTTCTCCAAGCTGTGGGGAATGTGCGGGAGCTGCTGTGATTTCAATTCTGCATTTACACAGTTCTGGTTCAGTGAACTGTCAGTCTGCATATGCCTCAATACCTGAGGGATTTGTCTGTATAATGCTTGCTGTAGACTCCTGACCCTTATCTGCTAATGATATAAAAACAATGCAAAATAAAACTAGCTTATTAATGTATTGTTTAAATGCTTTTGATTTCACTTTTTATCACATATGCTTGCATTCCTCCCTGAGGTGTTTTGGTCATGTATTTTAGCACCAAGATAATTAGCAAACTTGTATTAAACAAAAAAACATAGTCTAATTCATTTCTTTTCATGTTGGTGTTCCAAAAGTGTCCCAGTAGTCTGAGAAAGAAATCTTAATTTTTCTAAACAAGCAAATATATTGCCAGTTCTGATGTCTTCATAGAAAACTTTCTGTCAGGAGGCATTTATAATGATGAAGCATAATAGTGATGCTTCAGATATTAAAAAAGGTAAGAATTCCAAATCATAGATTCTTGAGGAATGTAACAGTAAATTCTGTGTTACTCAGGAAAGAATTGTAAACAGATCTTCTGGTAGCTAATTAATATGAATGCTATTTCATACCACATTCTGATAAATCTCTCTCTCTCCTATACCTGAAGGTTTCTGGGGTTGAAACCTAGGAGACAAAGAGTTTATAAACAAGTTAGAATATTCCTTATGAAGAAAAGGAGATCAAAATCTACATTATGCAGCTTTTGTTATTCTATTTAGCCAAGAGGGTATTTGATCTTACTGAGTCCTGTGCATCTTTCATTTGTCAATATAGCAATTGTGAGTGCATCTGCATGCAAAATGTAACAAACGTGAGAAATGGATAGAGCTACTGTGCTTACAGTAAGGTTTGCTGTCTGATGTATGTGTTGTAATGTATCTAGTTAAATATATGTGTATATTTTAATTTTGTTATGATCAGAACATTTGAAAGAGTTACAGACAGAGTATGGAAAGCTGCAGCTGGATGTTTACCGGTTTCAGAAGAACCAGACTAACCTTCAGAGAAAATTCTCATACGACCTGTAAGTTCTATCTAAACAGTGCTTCTGGAGATGTAAGTGACTTGGTTATAACCCTAAGAATTCTTGTTACAGCTGTAGCACTATCAGTAGATATACTGTCTTCAGGTGGAAGTGGCACCACACATCTTCTAAAATTGCTCAGAGTTAATCTTGGAGAAGAGCATACACCTAGCCATGAACATCATCACAATATCTATAAACTTCTTCCACACTTCTAGATGTTTCTTCCAGTGCAGGAGGAGAAGGGTAGCTATATTCTCATTTCAGAAATAGGGGAAACTGGATCATAAAGAGGCTAAGCAATGGAGAAGTTTAAAAACTAAGATATAGAAATGCTTTTGAGAAGCTGTACCTCACGGAGTTGTTGGAGGTCAAACAGGAAGCTTTTGTTAGAGCTATGGTTCTGCAGTGCATTTCATACTTAGTCATATTTTTTTTGGTTGAAATTTTCCACTGAATTGTAAGGCACAAGTTGATGAACAAAAGTACCTATCAGTATCTATACCCTAACACATATTTCTGCTATTTGAATTTATCATAGGTTCTTTCTGTTTAGTAATGTTCTTGTCCCTCAGCTTCTCCCCTTTTGTGCTTAGGTATAGAAAACCAACACATGTCTGTGTATGCTCCTAGGATTTCCATCAGGCATACAATTGTAATACGTATTTTTTCCAACATTCAAATTTTGGTTACATATAGTAGGAGTTTTGACTAAAATCTCAACATGGCAATTAAGAATGTGTATTTTGCAAGCCAAACTTGCTTTTTTCAAAATTTTTTCAAAATTCCCTTTTTTTTCTTCCCTTCTATCCCAGCTGCTTAAGAATTAAGGATTTGTATTACTGCATTTGGGATACTTACTGATTGTCAGTTGATAACACAGCTTTTTTTTTAAGGTGTTACTCTTTTAGAAGAGATGAATCAGATGTGTTGTATTGATGGAATTTTAATAATTAAGGACTTTTAACATAAAAGGAATTTGAAGATATAAGTTTGAACCAACCTTTTATTAAACTGCATTACACTTACATGCCAACCAAGATGTTTTACCCCTCAAAGTACACTACATCATTGACACAGATGGATTGTAACATAATTGGGATTCATCTTCTTTGCTAGCTAGATAAGAATGTATCTTCCTTGAAGGCTGAGGTCATCAAGAGTAAGTGAATTCATAACTGCATGAATGTGCTGTACAGTTGTGCTCCACATGAGTAGTAATCCTTGAATTACTAGATTGATAAATGTGTGTAGAAAAGTGATACAAAATTATTGTAGTAAATCTGACATCTCAAAACTCAGGCTTATTGTCCATGAAATATTTTCAAGTACATCTCATTTAACTGAAGAAAATTACATCTGGAGGGATCAGCTACAGGATCACAGCAAGGAGAGAGTGAAGAGATAAAGTTATGGTGATGAAATCAGTACAGCTTGGATAGGCTTGCCAGGGTCAGCATGGATGCCAACAGGACTGAACAGGGATTAAGCAGTCAGCTCATCTGCCTTCCATTAGTCTTAAAGCAGATGCACCATATTTTGCTGTCTCTCCTTGGTAATCCACAAAAGCAGTTATCTCTGTTGAGGAGCTACACTATCTTATGAGGTTTGCTTAATAGCACTTAAAAGTTCATTTATGGCAGAAAGGGATGCTAGACGTGTGGTACTTCCTTGGGCTTGGAATTGTATGGATGAGAGTTTGACACCTCAGATATCATTTGCCTAGCAAAAAAAGTCAAAGAAAGTATTATTGTATAATTGAAATTTGCCTTTTTTCTTTTTTTTTTTCATACTGCACATTTTTAGTCAGTTTGGCTGTTGTGCTGTAGAATACAGTGATAAAATTGTTTGTGTGTGAGTAATGCCTAAGAACAACATTTAACATAGGAGGTGCAAAAAACATATGTTTTTCTCAGGATTTCATCACAGCAGAATTATTTTTTGAGTGAGTCTCACGTTTTCAGTTCAACAGGCAGCAGAAAGCTTTGTGAGTGTGCTGGTATCAGGACTACTTAAGGTCCATCTGTTCCCTGCGTAAGCCTTTCTTCCCCTACATCACACTGTGTCCCACACAGCTAGCTCATCTGATTTGCTAGTCACTAGGTCTCAGAAGGAAGTAGAGGAATGTAAGGTAATAAAACTAAGATAATGAAGTAGGGGGGAGTGAAGGAACAAAGAAAATAGTTTTAAAAAACAAAATTTTAGGAGAGAGTTGTGAACGTGAATGGAAATTTGCAACTACTCACTTGTTCATGTTCTCTACAGGTCACAGTGCATCAACCAGATGAAAGAATTAAAAGAACAATGTGAAGAAAGGATAAATGAGATAGCAAAAAAAGACAGTGATGTACCACAAGTCAAAAAAAATAAAGACTTCTCAGAAGATTCAAAAAGAAGCACCCAGGTATGATAGGAGTAGTTTATCGTAAATCTTTTTCCCTGTAATTCTTAGGAAGTTCTCCTCCTTTTTGCTATCTCCAGCTAACATTATTATGTCTCATTAAACTTTTTAGTACTTTCATTTGCATCGGTTGAATGCTTCTGATTTATGTGAAATTGAGTGAATCCGGGAACAGAACAAGGCAGAGATCCTGGAGAGGTCTTTATTGTTCTCCTTATTACTGTCCTCTGAGACAGGCAGAATTGGAGAGGAGAGAATGAGAGTGGTGAGAAGCTATTTCAAGAATATTTGTGCTGCTGAGCTTTGGCCCACAGCTCCTTTTGACTTTGTTAAAGGGCTTAATTGCTTTGTGTATTGAAGTTGTATGTTTAAAGATGAGGATAAATTTACTATCAATCACTTTAGAATAGCAGAAAGCCTGAAGAACAATACTGTAGTCCACAGCTCTTTACCTGGGACTTTGGGGCTTAGCGGTTTATCGCAGTACCGTGAGTTTCCAGAGGAATACAGATTTCAGTCTTGTACAGCAGGAGTGAGAGTTTTGTTTTTTTCTTGGAATCAAAGAGCTGCAGAAAGTGTTGCTGTATGTAACACAAACATTCTAGTGGAGTAGCACAGGCTTGCCATAGGGCTTGGCCCTGTGCCAGCAGCGGTGGCTGTGTGCCCACCCACTCTTTCTGTGGAGGGTGGAAGGAATGCAAAGAAAAATAAATTTCATACGATTGTGTTGTCTTGGCACAAAATTATTGATACTTCTTTAACAAAGTGGGATTAGATCTGGGATAGGACTTGAGTAGTTAAGCTTGCCACAGATGGCCATGGAAACAGGCAGCGAAACCCCCGATAAAGAAACAACTAATATATTATAATAATTTAATTTAATGTGCCTTTCCTTCAAGACCACAAGCACTTGTGACAGAAACTTTAACATGTGATTGCATTAGAGACTATTTGAGTGACCAGCTTTGATTGCAAAGGCAAAACAGTCTGGGTAGTACCTGTCTTGTGTTATATGAGTGCTGCTAGAAGAATGAAGAGTTAGAAACAGTGAATGCTATTCTTCTGTCCCTGTAGAAGAAAGGGAAAAATTCTTGTTTGTCTGAGTAATTTTTGTGAAGTGTCAGATAAACAAAAAAATAACAAGCCCATCATTTGGACACACGCAGGGAGACTTTATAGAGCAGATGCATGTTTCTTGATTGAATGATGGAAAATACAAAACATTTATAAACTTCACATGGGGAAGAGCGTACTAAAGAGATGGGCAAGTGAATTTCTGGTATTGTCTTGCATCAGATTCTCATTAACATTACTCATACCAGATGAGGTCTACTCACCAATTCCAGAAGCTAGGAAGTTGGCTGAATTTCCTCTGCAGGACACTTGCATTCTTCTCCAACAAGTCTCATGTCAGAAGTCAGTGTTTTCTCTAAGTCTGTAGGTTACCTGTCGTCCTTTTTATCTACAGATGGTTTGGCCCTAGCTCAGAGAACTACTGATAGAGCTTCAGGCAAAATAGTTACCTTGTGTTCCCTAATGTCTATGGCAGTATTTCTTATGTCAAGTTGTAACTTTTTCAGTTATTTGTTTGCCCACTGTTTGCAACTTTTGCATATGCAAAGGCTGAGTTATTTATCACTGTGTATATTTTTAGCTGGAATTATTCCCATTTTTACAGATCACAGTGGCTCAGCTACTGTGATTTTTTTTTTCGTGCTGAGTTTCTGTATTGCATGTGCTTATGTAATAGAAAGGTCAGTGGTAAAATAAATCAGAGAAAGAAGGTGGGTTGTTGGTTAGTTAATAAATACACAGATATGCTTATAGTTCTGTTTTTTGAATATTGATGTAGGTTGAGAATATAAAATGTGTATATTAATTTATCTTTAACAAGTTTCAGTTATCTTTTCAGACAGAAGACCAACCACTTCAGATTCTAGCATACACATGCTTTTATTTGACATCATTAAAAATTACTGAGTTGAATATTGAATCTTAAGATAATATAGCTTAAGGCTTATTGCATGTCTCATTAAGAGCTGAATTGTTGCTATTAATTTCAGGCTTGATATTTTTACAGAAGTATGTGTGCCCCAGCATAAACTGGAAAGTAGTTTTATCTTCAGTCTCCAGAGATTTCTACTGCAGAAACAGTTATGTCTAAAAAATCCAAGAGGAGTATTTAAATATAGTACCTTTATGTTTTAATGACTGAAGAAAGACAAACTTCTTCTGAATACCCTTATTGCAATAACTACTAAATCTTCTGTGGTAGTAGTTACTTCTCAATCTGAGGTATTAAATTGTTTATTGTTGATGTTAGACTCAGAGGTGTTGACCCAAGGTCTTTAGATCTCCCTGGCTTTAACTGAGCTTAAGCAATTTCAAAATAGCCAAGTAATTGGTGACCTACACATCCTTTTCAACTTTAGTGTCTCGGTTATTCAGTCACTTATTTCCGCAGACGTTTTACCAAATGACCACATGAAGATTTGGCAACCTAGTAATTTATTTACCCGCTTAGAACAATAAGCAGTTACAGTTTACCAACAGTTGGAACAGGAAGATTTTTGTGGACAGTATGACTTTCTACACCATAAAGTTGCTTACTGATTTGTGTAGTGCCGGCTGTTTAAAAAGTCTCTCTCTGTAGGTCTGTACACTTTTCTCTCTGCATGTTTGAAAAAGTGAATACGTAGAATCATCATAGAATCACAGAATGGCCTTAAAGATCACCCAGTTCCAATTCCCTCTGCCATAAACACTCACCAGATCAGGGTGCCACCCACCAGATCAGGCTTTCCAAGATCTTATCTGACCTGGCCCTGAATGCCTCCAGGGATGGGACATTCACATCTTTTCTAGGAAACTTGAGCCAGGGCCTCACTGCCCTCTGAGTATAGAACTTCTTTTTAACATCTCAGCTTAATCTCCCCTCTTTTAGTTTAAAGCCTGAACACAGTAGTGCAAGTGAGGCCTTACAAGGTTGGAGCAGAGGAAGACAATCCCCTCTCTGTCCCTGCTGGTCACTTTTCTTTTGTTTTTTGTTACAGCCCAGGATACTGTTGGCCCTCAGGTGCACACTGCTGGCTCATGTCCAGCTTCTCATCGTCTTGCAACCTGGATACATGCTCTAAACATTGATCAAGCTGGGCACATATACATTGAACAAACTTTGTAGTCATTTGTCTGTCAAAAACAGACATTGTAGTCTGGTTTTTTTTGTTTCTTTTTTTTTGTGCTGGTATAGGGCAACATGGGCTCCATGCACATCTCATGTTTAGTTTTTACGTGAACTGGATTAACATAGCTATTAAATGCTAGTATGAGTAAAGACTGCATAGAGAATTGTAATTGTTTAGTTGAAAGATCTTCAGGTTGGTGGATAATATTCTATGATTCTATGACATCTTAGCCATTAATTTTTAATCAGACGTCACAAGTCAGAGTCCAAGACCAGTCAAGTACCAGTACTCAGTACATCCTTAAGTTCGGTCTTCCTAATAATGTTGTCTAGTTGTTGATATTTTGTTTTTTTTTTCCTTCTCTAAAACCTGCATTCAACATTTATTCCAGTTCTGTACAGCAATGATTGGCTGATTGTGCCCAAACCCAGTTTACCTGTTCCTGCACTAGCAGTAGTTAATGCCATCTGTTTGTATTGCTCTGCTGTCCCTTGTGTAACCCTTACTGAATAATAGGAAACTCTAACCAAGAACAGTATTCTCAGTTGCAATTAGGCAGAAGCAAGGGTTCTTAGATTCTTGTAGTGTTATGTGCTGTTACATAGAAGCATTGCTGCCTATTCAGGATTGTATGGTTCTTCCATCACCATTAACAATTTCAGTTCAATTATTTGAGTGTATTTAGATTTCTTTTCCTCCACTGAATTCTGACTAAATTTCAGCTTCCGAATCCAGGACTGAGTGTTCAGAGCAATGTTTGTCTGTGTGCATTCACTTTACAGGCTGATGGTCAGTTGTCAGCTCCAAAACAACCTGAGTTCAAGCAGACTGATTTGGAACAGCAGAGAGCCAATGAAGACGTGCCAAAAGCAGTGCCTACAATAAAAAGGACAGATGCTCTGCAGCCTAATGGTAAGATAAAATCATTGATATCTTAGCAACTTGAGTAAGAAAGTTTGCAACTTAACTGAACGCTAAAAATATTTTTGTATTCAAGAAGGAAAAAAAATGACAGCAGTGAACTGAATTATAATAAACTCTCCTTTAGCTGCAGTAATTTGTCCAAGTGTTTTTTTATTACTGCCATTTCTGCTAGTTCAGCTATATTGAAATTGATGTGTTTCTTCTAAAGCAAAATAAAAATGCCTGTAATCACTCGTTTACTGTTGAGAAAATATTTTGCTTTTGCATGCAAAAGTTTTTAAGTATGTTTTGAATTTACTTGTTTACTAAGTTTTGTACATCTAGCCCACTGCCCCCCCCTATCAAATACCTGAAAGTTTGGCATTAGGCAAAGACATTCCTCTGCTTTCTGTGTTGTCAGTGAGCAAAGTGACAGTAAAGAAAATCAGAGATCAGATCAGGTAAGCCATGGTTGTTTTTGGCATTCAACTCTCACAAGCTATTGACTTGAATGGATGTCCCAGTGCACTAGTCTCACAAAGTACTGTGCATGTGAGAAATCCAACTTCCTATTAAATTATTCTTTTGTGCTATCTTTAATAACAGGCTTAGTAGTAATTTTAGACAACTAGCAATTCACAGCAACAACTCTGTTTAGTGTATTCAGGTGAATTTTATCCTGGCATTTTTAAGCTAAAAGTACAGATATGTGACGTGGTAATGCCTGCTGAAAGTGGCAGCCTGACTCTGCATTCTCTCCACACCTGAAAGCGAGAACAGCTTTCATTTACTTGAAAGTCTGTTCATGTATCCACTGTGTCCTGAGCTACCTTTGAACACCTGATGTGTTATATTGTTAATAACAAAGCACGATGCTCAGAAATCTGATGCTTACATAGGTCACTGGAAGTTTTAATAGAGCACTGCTCTGTTTCATCTGCCAAATTTTATTATTATTTTTTTAACTCCACGTACAAACATTTAAGTAGGTAGCTGGACTTTGCAGGTTTTATTCTTTAGTTTTCACACTCAAAGTATGGACTGTCTTCTGTCTTTCTCTTTGAATCTGATGTGATTGATGGAATGTGAAAAATGAAGCAACATTTCTTCAAAGTTTTAACTTATGCTGCCACTGAAATACTTTTTTTCTTTTTTCTTTTTTTTAATTTGGAATCATCAATATAATTCACAGAAAGAGCGAATGGCCTTGCTGCCATCAGAAAAGAGGACTCCAAAGCAGAGGAGGAGAAGCTCTCTGTTGAACTGAAACGGCCACAGGGTTTGGCTATGGCTGGCACAGGCCGTAAGGAGATGCCCCCTGAGTCAGAGAAAGAACTGAATCCAGCTGAAGATGGAAAAAACATAGCTGAGCAAGAGGCACCACAGCCAGCTGCACAACAGATTGCTGAGGAGGTGGAGAGGGAGCAGCTCCTCAATTATGATGCTAAGCAGAGCGACTCGCCTCTTGGACAGGCTGGTTAGTAACACCTTGCACACTGCAAGAAAGGGAATAAAGATGTGGAATGGGGCATGATTTCTGAAATAGTGGTGGAAGTTGGCTAGACTTAATATAAGGCTTCGTAAGTTTTGGTGTGAGAGGCTAAAGATTAATCTCAGCACTCCCTCACAGTCAAGTGGGTAATGACAGAGGCTTCTGTTTGTGCAATGAGGAGCTGCCAGTCTGGATTCCTGTGTGTCACTGTTCCAGCTGTTCTGTCCTTCTTTCCATTGTCTGCACAAGGCATCTGGGGACTTCAGTCTCAGAAACCTTTCAGTATTGGGACTTAGTAAGAATATGACATGTTTGGAAAAGATGTGACATACAAAGCATTGATGGGTAGAATATTTTGTAGATGGTCAGTTTATAGCTACCCATTTCAAAGTATGTTGGCATGAGTAAACCTATGCTTGAGACTTCAGTTATCTGAAGTTTATTATTGCAAGTCAGCAAAACTGCAAATTGGAAGTCATTGGCAAAGGTGCCAGTTTTCTGGTTCTACCATGTGTGATCATGTCTGCCCCATGCTGAGAATTGATGTGATGTCTAAACCTGACCAGAATCTGGACCAGGCAACTTGAGGAACTCCATCTTAGGTGGACTTTAATTCATGTATGCAGGCTGGTGCTCCTAAAACTGTGGTCATTAGCAACTTTTCCACGGAACAAAGTAGAATTTTCTGATGCAGTAGAAGCTTGCAGCACTATGAAGGATCAGTTTCTTGCTTTTCCTGTACTCATTCCAGCTTGTTTTCCATCTTCCACCACATTATCCTAATTACCTCGCTGCCAGCTCTTCTGAATGGGAAAATGTGTCACCCCTCCGTGTGTAGTAATGCAAAGCAGAATCAGTAGCATGGACAGTAAACAAGAAGCAGTACTGTTTATATTCTCTAATCCAATGAATGCATTTATATAATGCATTATTATATGATATTAGTAGACTAGATAATTTGGCAAGAATAAGTAATCTGTCTCATCTGCATTGCCAAAGTAACATTTTTCCAACTGCACCAAAAAGATACTTACCAGAGCAGGCATTTCTCCAATTAGGTGTGACTGTACAAGCCAAGTGTTTCATTTTAACTGAGGTATAGAAAAACCAGACAGTGCCATCCAACAACTAATGCAAGAGAAAGCCTTGCAGTGCAGCCTGTGGAAGGTCAGTTCTCTGAATGCAGGAACATCACAATATTCTTTAGTCTTGATTGTTCAGTAAAAATAATATACCTTATGGTGTGGATTCCTTTGGTTGTAAGGAAGCAGAAGTGGACTTCTCCTACATTCTGCGAGCATTCTCTTTTTTTCATTTAAAGCTTCTTTTAAAAGCTTGAGACAGTTAGGTCTATTACTGGAAAGAATTTTTGATACTTTAAACGTCTACAATATAATGCTAAAATTTTTCGAGCCTTCTTCTAATCAGCTGCTGTTAACGTTTGGCTTTTCCTTCTTCTTGAGAACCAGAGACCCTTGTCTTAACTGGTCTTTATGGTTTTTCTGTCTGACTAACTGAAAAAGTAAAGGTAGGGTTCTTGCAGTCAGAAGTAATTTTCTTCTGAACAGTCTATACTAAGAAATTTTAAGGTAGTGAAATTTGCTCAAGATGAAGCCATGTGGGGCAGGAAAGAGTGAAGTGTGAACAAAATTTTTTATAGAAAACCACTTCTAAAGCCAAGTTATATTCATATATTCATTTCATGCCATCTTCAGAGCTTTATCCATTGCTGGACAAGCCGAAATGAAGAGGGAGTATCTGAGATACCTTTCAGAGGAAATGTTAATGCATTTAAAAGCAACACCATAGTCAGGTTTTCAGTATAATCTTCAAGTTTTACTCTTCTTTAGACTGTCACTTAATGTATTCTGAAATTGCTTAATGCTTTTCGTTTGTCCACTTGCATGCTGGCTGAACTCTGTTACGCTTCCAATTCCCAAAGATTGTTATCTAACTCTTAATATAGTGTTGACAGCAAAGGCTTTCTATTCTGAAGGAAAAATATTAAAACTCACTCTCTATACAGAAATTCATTCACCAGCAAAATAAATTCTATCATGGATTTTTTTTGCAGTACCTATCTTGTGCTGTGTAAAACAAATTAACTATAATGTTTTTCCAGACCAGCAAGCACGTGAAGCACTGAGTGAGGACAAAGATGTTGACTACAATTTAGATGAGAATGAAGCTGAATCAGAAACAGACAAGCAAGCAGCACTTGCAGGCGTTGAAACTGGTAAATAAATAAAGGATATTTTATTTGAAGCACTATATGCTGCAGAGTACTATGATGATATTTTGAATTTTATACTTCAGCAGATTCATATAGGTAATTCCTCTTTGTTCCCCAATTTTCCCTACTGTTGAGTATGATGTGTAGTTACATAGCATGAGTGAAGCTACTTTTTAGTAAATGGTGGAGAGGGGGAGTATGTGCGGCTTTACTGTTCAGCACTAACAGTCCCTTCAAAATTTTCTGGATGAAGACCTATCACTCCTGAATCTTAATGAGATTTCTGTATCTTTTTCTTTCTTCCTTATTAGTTCAAAATTCTCAAGAAAAAATGTGAAGAACCACTTGACCAAACTGGAGCACGTCAGAGGCTGTGAACAAGGGAAATTTGTGATGCATCTTAATCAACTCTTCCTATAAATGCAGCAGTGACCAGAGCAAAGTGATTTAAGAATGTTTGATTATCTTTTCGAGGCTTTGATAAAGGCTCAAATGAAGTAGTTTGTTGTGAAGTTTTAGTACTGTTTCAGGATGAAAAAATTATATATATCAAGGCTTGTTTTAAGGCAGTGTGACCTCTGCAGTGAGACTTTTCTTCCTCCTGATTATAAAATAAAAACCAGCTAACAAGCACTGCAGTAACTTTGAAGTCAGCTGACTTGTACAGTCATGCCACAATAACATTTTGCATGGACTGGTGGTAGGTGGGAAAGAGTCCTCTGGCAAAGATGGAGTTTTCTCCTAAGCAGTGCAGTAGAGAAATCCTCACCCTAGTTTTAAGAGTGAAGAGAAACATGAAAAATGTTCTGTGCTGCAGTCTGCCTTCATGCCAGTTCTGACACCATTTTACTGCAGTGTGAATGGACTCAGAGAGGATGATTGTAGTTCTCAGATATGACATGGCATTATATATTTTCCTTTATTTCATAAATGAAACCTCTAGCTTACATAATCTGTACCAGGAATGAATAGCTGTCTTGGTTTTACTCCTAGGTTTTGTGTTAAAAATAGATTCTAGTAATAGAATATTAAGAGATTAGCAGGAGTGTTTCCTGAAAGCCTTACTGGATGTCTCTTCACAAAATTAGAAGTGCCACTAGCTTATGCAGACATCAGTCAGACTGACTCCTGAACTTGTGATGTGATAGCCCTTTGGCAGGGGTGTGCTACTTCTGCCATCCTTCTGCTGAAACAATATCTTTCACTGAAGAGTAGAAAGGAAATGCCTGCCTTATGGAACAGCTGTTGAAAAATGTCTTCTCTGCTGGACTTTTGAAGGAGGTGGACCAGGTTGTGCATTTTATTGCCCACAGTTGAAACAGGAGTTGATGTGAAGTGCTGTGTTACACACCATTATCATGTTGTTGGTGTTCTGTAGTCTTGAATTTTCTGCAGTTTGTTGAACTAGTTCACTCTGGAGAGCCTAGAATATCCATGGCTGCCACTGAAACACCTTTTAACTTCAAGTCTCACCTTTGTTGTTTTAGCCAACTGTTTTGAAGATTGCATTTGTGTCTGCTTTTAAGACCAGCCCCCATGTTTGGAGCAGTCTCCATGAGTACGAACCAACAGCTACATGATAGTATGGGAGAAGTCAGACACAAATGACTTCCCAACCAATAGTTTCATTTAAGAATACAGAAATTCATCATGGCTTTCTCTTAATGTACTTCATATCATAAAGTTATAGTGTATCATCCTTTAATGTGTTAGTTAATTACTCCTGTACCTGAAGATGCCTAAATGTGCAAATAGAGGGCTGGGTTTTTTTTGTTTGTTTGTTTTTTTGTTTGTCATTCAGAGTTGTCATTCAGTAAAAGAAGCAGGAGCCATCAAATGGTGCCTGGTCCTCCACAAATGGTTCACTGACAGACTTGCCAAGTGTGACATGAACTGAGAGAAGAACTGCCCTCTGTTACTGAGTTACTTGCTACTGCATATGATCACCATTTAAGTCAGATTTTACTGGGCTGGACTATTGCAGTCAGTAATAACAGTGAAAGCAAATATTTTTAAGCAGTAGAGGATATACGAGCATTTCTTCTAAATGACAGATGTTGGAAAACTTGGGGATATTTCTATATTGCTAGTTCTTTTGCTTTATCTTTTCTAAAACTTGGTATGCTTTGGCATCAGAATGTTTACATGTATTCAGAGTAGTGTGAGCTTGATTTTAGGACTTACTCTGTAAACTGTTATTTAGCTGAGCTTAAGTTAATCAGGAATTTCTGTTTGCAGACCTGTGCATTTCAAAACTATGAAATGTACAGTGAAATGCTGTATAAAAGTTGAACGAATTACTTCAACTTGAAACTCCTAAAATCCTGAATAAAACCCACAGTTCCTTAATGTAATTAATATATTGCCAGAGAATTCTTTTAGAATTAGAATAGTCCAACTCCCTGACCACTTTAGGGCTAACAGAAAGTTAAAGTGTATTACCAAGGGCATGCCCAAATGTCTCTTGACACTGACAGATATGGGACATCAACAACCTGTCTAGGAACACTGTGGCAGAGTCCAGCCACTCTCAGGGTAAGGAAGCATTTCTGTACAGTGCCTAAAACCTGACTAGGCTTCTTGGTAGCCAGCTAGGTGGCATCCTTCCTGTAAACACGACCTCCTTTATGCAAAGCACAATTGCTGTACCTCTTACAGTGGAAGGCTGAAAACCTGTGTAAAAGCAATGTTCATAAACATAGCGGAATAATGTCCTACTCTCAGTAGCTTCAAGTGCTACAAGAATGTACCTGGGGTCATAAATTTTTAATAGACAAGAGACTGTTGTGTCTACTATATGGAACTTTAGAGGACTTAATGTAGTCGAACAAAACAAGATTCACTTGAAACTGTGATTAACAAAATGTTTATCACCAAATTTTTTACATGCATGAGGGTGGGGAAGCTGCTTGTCTAATTTTCCTGGGCTTAAATTAACACTTGTCCCCACTGTTTTTTAAAAACAAAGTCTGGTCCACTTAAGTACGCATTCTAAATAAAAACAGTCTTCTCTAATGTCTGTTACCTTATTCTGTACTGTTGATACACTTGTAATGTTAATGGAAATGGAAAAGATGATCATTCAAGATTTTTGAGTTCTGTGAATGTTGTAGAACTTTTACTTGGTGTATTTCTCTTCTGGAAAAATACAGGCTTTCCTTGAGCCACTGGTATGCAGTTAAAGATTTTGAAGACTGGAAGGATTTCTATAATTGCTTACAACAAGGCAGCAAAAGGCAGATGAATTTTTAGTGGCCTACAGTACCACCAGTTGGACATTTTTGCAACTACATGTTCTGGGGTTTTCTTTCCTCTGGCAATGATGTAGAAGCATTCAAGTATATAAATTAAGATGATAAGCAAACATGAAGGGGTATGCAGTCTCCTTTTTCACATGTCTGTGCTAAGCATGTGTTGGGGGTTGCTTATTCCATGAAGACTCAAATTGCTGGCAGACATGTGGGGTGTTCCAGTTCAATGTATTTTTGTTGTTTTCCTGTTCTAGCTTACCGGTTCTGTTGCTTATATATATATTAATATATATAATAATAATAATCATAGAATCATAGAATGGTTTGGGTTGGAAGGGGCCTTTTAAGATCACCTAGTTCCAACCATCCTCCTATAGGCAGGGACACCTACCACTGGACCAGGTTCCTCAAAGTCCCATCCAGCCTGGCCTTGAATACTTTCAGGGAGGGGGCATAGACAACCTCACTGGCAGCCTGTTCCAGTGTCTCACCACCCTCAGGAATTTCTTCTGACTTCCAGTTTAAATCTATCCTCTTCCAATTTAAAGCCATGCTACATGCCCCTATAAGTCCCTTCCTAGTTTTCCAGTAGGCCCCCTTCAGGTACTGGAAGACTGCCGTAAGATCTCCTTGGAGTCTTTTCTCCTTGAGGCCAAACAGCCCCAGCTCTCTCAGCTTGTCCCTGTAGCAGAGGACATAGCCCTCTAATCATCTTCATGGCCCTCCTCTGAGCCCACTCCAACAATGTCCTCCTTGCATTGGGGGCTTCAGAACTGGAAACAGTACTCCAGGTGGGGAGCAGAGTAGAAAGGTAGAATCACCTCCCTCTATCTGCTGGTCATGCTTCTCTTGATTCCACTCAGGGTAAGGTTGGCTTTCTGGGCTACAAGCACACATTACCGGCTCACTGAATCCTTCATCAACTGACACCCACAAATCCTCCTCAGGACTGCTCTCAAACCATTCTCAGCCCAACCTGTAGCTGTGCTTCAGAATATCCTGACCTAGGTGCCAGACCTTGCATTTGGCCTTGCTGAACTTCATGGGCCCACCTCTCAGATCTGCCCAGGTACCTCTGGATAGCATCCCTTCCCTCTAGTGTGTCAACTGCACCACTCAGCTTGATGTCATCTGTGAACTTGCTGAGGATGCACTCAATCCCACTGTCCATATCATCCACAAACATGTTAAACTGCACCCAATACCAATCCCTGTGGAGAACCACTTGCCACCAGTCTCCACTTGGTCTCTGAGCCATTGACTGCAATCTGTCAGCGTGACTATCCAGCCAATTCCTTACCCAACAAGTGGTCCTTCCATCAAATACATTTTTTCCTCCAATTTGGTGACCAGGATGTCATGGGGAATACATCAGGCCATGAAGGAAGAGATGCAACATACAGATGGGCTTGGGATCAAGGGGTAGAGTTGGCTGTGGACACTTACTGCACAGGTTATCCATGAATGTGAGACATGCCCTGGCCTTAAGGGAGCCAAACAGATAAAGCCTCTTTAGTATGGAGGACAACACCTAAGATATAAACTTGCATGGCAAGAATATACTGCACCCCCACAAAGCTGCCATGCCACTCACCATGAGCTTATAATGGTGGAAGCAACCAATGGCTGTCTGGAAACATCCATCCTGGGCCTTGGAAAGTGTGTCTTGTAGGGACAAAGCCCCCCAAAAAGAACTGAGTCAGACGACAGGACTCATTTCCAAAGTGATCTCATTACTACTATTTTTTTCTCCTTCTTTTTCTGTCTTAGTAAATACTTTTCATCTCAACTTATGTGTTCTACTCCATTGTTTCTTCTTCTCTGTCTTCCAGGGCACATCACCCGTTTGAGGCAAAACTGCTCCACTGACAAAATTGAAACAAAATCACTGAATACAATGCAGTGGGAGATAAATAAAAACATTTACTTTTCATCTGCTTTTAATTTCTATAAAGATCGTTTTAGTTGACTGGACTTGGCAAGAAAAGAATTCAACCACTCTACTTGCAAAATGCAATGTAGTTCAGGCAAAAGTATGGAAGCTGTTTGTAACTGCAGCAGCTCAGCTGTGTCTATTATCAGACATATTGCTGTAGAACATTATTTTTTATTCAGCAATGAATATCTGCTGACCATTTTCTGGTCAGCACCATTAAACACCATTTGCTATCAGGGTTCATCCATAGAAGTGATTTTTGATTAAATCTTTATTGAAATCAAAGAAGGTACAACATTTTTCAACAATA